ACTATGAGAAAGTAATCTCAAGTCCGCCAAGATGACAAGTCCGAATTTGCCATCACAATCGGAAACCATCGATCATTTAATTTCCGGTTGTCCGATTCTGGCAAAACATGAATACTTAGAAAGGCACAATAAAATATGTCAATATCTCCATTGGAGTATATGCCGAGAATATGGAATGGATGGATTACCCAAGGAGTGGTACAACCACATTCCAAGCCCGGTTACGACAGTAGGTCCATGCACAGTTCTATATGATCAACAAATCCACACTGATAGAACTGTGCCAGCTAACAAACCGGATATCATCCTCAGGCATAATGGGGAAAAATGGTGTAAGTTAATTGAGGTATCCGTGCCGGCAGAAAAAAACACCACAGCCAAAGAAGCAGACAAAAGGCTGAAATACAGAAATTTGGAAATTGAAATAACCAGGATGTGGGGAACAAAAACTGAAACGATTCCGGTCATCGTGGGAGCATTGGGAGCCATGCCACATTCAATAAAAGGAAATTTAAAGAAGATTATGAAGAACCTAAAAGAAGAAACCATCCAGGAAATCGCACTATGTGGGACGGCCCACATTCTTCGGAAAATATTATAAATAGCACCACCGATATTCGAGTATTTGTCCCTAAGGAATCGGGTAGAGACCTGGGATAAATACTTAACAACCCCGACAAATAAGAGCCTTGTCGTGTTTAAGAGTGACCATAATAATAATAATAATAAATTTATGATTTAAATGAAAAAAGATTTTCAAACGCGCTCAAATTTTTTTTTATATATATTCCGATACTCGACAAAATTCCAATTCTCTCTCAAAAAAAAAAAATTACGATTGATTGATTGATTGATTGACTGATCGACAAAGCGTACTCGTCCCACGCAATTTAATTTTTTAAGGATGAAGAACAACGTGTCGAAAAAAAATATGATTCCGAGCAAAATCAACATCAACACGTCTCGCGACTTTTTGCTACCATTAGTAAGTAGCCTCTGACGATAATAAATAAATAAAATAAATCGATAATAATCGATCACGATTTCGATTTCGATTTTACCAACCGTACGTTTCCACACGCTCGCGGTATTATTAATATTATTATTATTATTAATAATAATAATCAATCAAAATAACGACATTCTTTTTAAAAAAAAATCATTCGAATTAAAATTAATTTATTTAAAATAATAAAATTTAATGTCATATCAACATGGTTAAATTTAATAAGTAATCATCATCATCATCATTATTCATGTGTTTTCTCTCGATTTCGAAAAAAATTTCTATTATTATCATTATTATTATTATTACATTTTTTCCATTTTTTTCTCATTCGTCACGATTTAACATTTTTCGTAGAAAGCAAAATTTGAGTTCGAATTCTCCCTAAAATAAAATTCGTACATATTTCGTCATGCTTTTATTATTATTATTA